AAGAAAGAAAGAAAGAAAGAAAGAAAGAAAGAAAGAATACAGTATATCTCTTTTATGAGTTCCTGGTTTAACAAACTTTTTCAATGAACTGACCAATTACAAATTCCAATGACATTGAATAACACCTACTTAGTTCAGAAGTATTTGACTTTGGCAAAGAAAACTAAAAAGTTAAAAAAAAAATGTGTCTACTTGGTAGAATAAAAGGCTGATTACTGTATCTCTCTCTGCCAATCTAAAAATTAATTGGTACACGAAATCAACCGATTCCAGCAGTCTGCGCTTTTCAAGGCTAAGCAGTTATGAGCTCTGTTTTTCAAGGTGTCAAGCCAAGGTGGCCTTTCACCTCACTTCAGTGCAAATTTACCCTACTCATGGATTTTGGAGGTTGCCAGCTCAGGGTTGTTGTTGCTTTTTCTTTCCCCGTCAACTGACTCTCGAACAGTTCTATCTTCTGAAAGCCAGTGATATGCACATAGTTCACAAAAGGAGGCTGTCCAGACCTTACAGGCTTATCGAGTGGAATCTTTTTTGAGACAGGGCCTCACTTTGTCCCTGAGGCTGGAGTGCAGCACTACCATCCCGGCTCACTGCAGCTTCAACCTCCTGTGTTCAAGCGATCCTCCCCTCTCAGCCTCTTGAGTAGCTGTGACTACAGGCATGCACAACCACATCCAGCTAATTTTTTATTTTTTGTAGAGACCTCCTTTTTGTAGGTCTGCCTATGTTGCCCAGGCTGGCCTAGGACTCCTGGGCTCAATCAATCGCCTTCCTTGGCCTCCCAAAGCGTTGAGATTAGAGGTGTGAGCCACCATGCCTGGCCCAGAATCTTTAAATATTAATAATTTAAAAACCAAGAAGGGAAATCCCAGCAACTTTAGATGGCTATAAATAATTAGGCATGCAATCAGGATTGAGTGCTTAAAAATCTTAGAGTTTGTTTTAACAGAACGTGTTTTCCTGGAAATCATACAGCAAGACAGTAAATGCTACCCTGACTCAGACCTGAGGAAACATTTTTTTTTTTTCGTTTTTAAAGATGGGGTTTCACCATGATGGCCAGGCTGGTCTTGAACTCCTGACCTCAGGTCATCCACCCACCTCGGCCTCCCAAAGTGCTAGGATTACAGGCATGAACCACCGGGCCTGGTGGAACCATATTTAAAGTCCTCTCTTTCACAATAAAGGTACTGGCCAGCCACCCAAAATCTGCCTCAGCAGAGTCATGATAGAGTGTGGGAATACAGCTAAGACGACACCCACATACAAATTTGTAGACATTATGAAACGATTTCCTTTCCTGCCTCTTGTGCATAGCTGCCTCCCTCCTCTCGCCCCGGCTACTTCTCTAGCACTCTAAACTCTAGCTCAGGCTTGAGCAAACTGGGCTGGGTTAGCAGCTGACTCCTGCAGTCAAAGCACAGCAGAGGGAACCAGACACTTCTCAGGACCACAAGGCAGAGATCTGCTCTGTCCAGCTCTGGAATTGACTGTAATGGCTCATGACTATCAACCCCATTTCTGAGAACATAAAAGAGTCCCTTTTCAGACTGCTACCAAGCCAGAGGGCTAGCATTTTAGGTAAAAACAATATATCCAGTAACCTATTCTCTCTTGTAGATACTTCCTTTCTTTCCTCTCTGTCACCCAAGCTGGAGTGCAGTGGCATGATCACAGCTCACTGCAGCCTAGAACTCCAGGGCTCAGGTGATCCTCCTGTCTCAGCCTCCCGACTAGCTGGAACCACAGGTGCCTGGCTAATTTTTGAAATTTTTTGTAGAGATAGCAATCCTCCCGCCTCAGCCGCCCGAGTAGCTGGGACTACAGGCGTGTGCCACCAAACCTAGCTAATTTTTATTTATTTATTTGTTGTAGGTCTTCCTATGTTGCCCAGGCTGATCTCAAACTCCTGGGCTCAACTGATTGTCTGTCTTGGCCTCCCAGAGTGCTGGGATTAGAGTTGTAAGCCACTATGCCTGGCCCGGAATCTTTAAGAATTAATCATTCCAAAACCAATGGAGGGAAACCCCAGCAGCTTTAGCTAGGATTACCATGTTGCTCAGGCTTGTCTCTGCCTTGTGGTCCTGAGAAGTGTCTGGGTTCTCTCTGCTGTGCTTTGACTGCAGGAGTCAGCTGCAGGAGTCACCTGGACTCAAGTGATCCTCCTGGCTCAGCCTCCCAAAGCACTGGGATTACACTTGTGAGCCACCATGCCCGGCCTGTAGACAGTTTTTTCAAAGTTTGACTAAGGCAACTAAAAGGGCTCAGAATGGATCAGTCTTCCCACGCTGATTCACCAGTGCTTGGCTCAGCCAGAATACAACCTTCCTCCCAGCCCGTGTCCACCATCCAGATGAAGGTAGAAGGAGCGCAATTCCTCCAGCCAAGCCAAACTGAGCCAAATTCTAGTCTTCCTCGTGTGTCTAGCTTAATGTCAGAAGTTTCATGGCAATAATCTTCACTGGGATCTATGATTGTATATTACCAGAAAAGATGAATCCCTTCCTATCCAACATAAGCACGTATTTATACGTCCTGTTTAGCGCTGGCTGCTTGAAATAAGCTCTGAAGTAAATCCACTTTATGCACAATAGTTGAAAAGGCACAGTGATGCACTGGCCCAAGGCCTTATGTTATGACTTAACCTTGACTCACTCTAATTTGGCTCCGCTTTGAACTTTTCCATTTTAAGATCTCTCTGTGGGCGCTTCGTGCTCTGTAAATCTTAAAACAGTCTACATCAAAAACAGTCTCACTCTGACTTGACCAGCTTAGATGACTAGCTCAAGAATGATCAAGCTTGCTTGGGCTCTGAGAAGTACCCCAGGACAGAAAAGCCCTTGAGATTCTAGGGAACCACCTTTGAAGTCATGGGAGCAGGATCTCTTCAGCAAGGCCACCAACGCCAGATGCCCTTGGGGTGTCCATAGCTGTGAGAAGTCACGCAAAGCCCAGGACACACTGACAAGGACTGCTAAACATGCCCACAGCCTGCTATCCGCTGGGCCACAGGCCTGTGGTACTCAGCCATAGTTTGTCATCACCTCCCAAGCCACGATGCCTTTCCCTGACACTTTATTCCCAATCCCTCCCTACAATCCCACCTCCAACAAAATCAACCTAGGTGAGATGATAGAAAAAGGTCCTCCAGCCAGAGGCCATCGTAAGCCCTCACCTCTCTCCAATTTTCAGGAGGGGAAAAAGGAGTCTTTCCACTTCATGCTTCTGGGCAGTCAATCCTGAAATTCCTTAGGTTGTCTGGCCCAGGACTCCCCTCCCAGAATGATGAACAGCGCTGCCTTTGCTCTGAGAGCTTGCCTTCTGCTCCAAATGCATTGTTTCTTCAATGAGTCAACCAATAAACATTTGAGAACCCACCATGTGCCAGACAGTAACTAGGCATAGGGAATATAGGAGTGAATGCGATGAAGTTTCCACGTAAGGCAGCACACAGCCTAGTGGAGATGCAGGGAGTGATAAATGTAGACCCCACTAAGTAAGTCATTTCACCAAAGGAAATAAAGTAAAGCAACGAGACAGAGAGAAATCAGAGGTGGGCTGCAAGGGTCACTGCCCTTCATAGGCCAAGGAAGGCCTCTTCTGAGAGGTGACATTTGAGCTGAGATGCAATGATAAAAAGGAGCTAACTATTCACCCATCTGCTGGGAGGGCATTCTGGAAAGGAGAAATAGCAAGTGCCAGGGCCCTAAGAAGAAAGCAAGCCTTATCTTGTTAGAAGGACAGAAGAAAGGCCAATGTGCATGGAGCAGAGCCTGAGAGGGAGAATGAATGGACATGGGGGTGACGGGGCAGGCAGTGGTCCATGGATCCCCTGGGACCTTGCAGGCTGGGAGGGAAACCACCAGAAGGCTATAAGCAGGGAGTAATAAGATCTGTGCTTGGAAAAGACCACTCTGCTTGCTGGGAGGAGAATGGACTCAATGGCAGAAAATGAAAGAGGAAGACCAGACAGGCAACAGTTGCTTGAGCTAGGTCAGAGATGATGAGACATGGTGGGGTTCAGGGTACTTTCTGGAAGGAAGGCTGTCAGGTTGCTAGAATAAAGATAGTAAGTCTGGCCAGGTGTGGTACCTCACACCTGTAATCCCAGCACTTTGGGAGGCCGAGGTGGGTGGATCACTTGAGGCCAGGAGTTTAAGACCAGCCTGGCCAACATGGTGAACTTCCATCTCTACTAAAAACACAAAAATTAGCCAGGTGTGGTGGCACAAGCCTGTAGTTTCAGCTACTTGGGAGACCGAGGCAGAAGAATTGCTTGAACCCGGGAAGCAGAGGTTGCAGTGAGCTGAGATCTCACCACTGCACTCCAGCCTGGGGGACAAGGTGAGACTCTGTCTCAGAAAAAGATAGTAAGTCCAGCATCTATAAATGCTCATGATCCCTGTGTGAGCAGCACACACACACACACACACACACACACGTACATACACACTATCCTCCTTACACAAATAGTGCAGACTCCAGGCTCTAAGGTCAAATGGGATCAAATTCCAACTCATCTGCTTACTCGACGTAAAACTTGGTTCAAATCACTGAACCTCTCCATCCCTCGGGTTCTTTGTCTGTAAAAAGGGGACAATAGGCTCAGTGCAGTGGCTCATACCTATAATCCAGCACTTTGGGAGGCTGAGGAGGATGGATTGCCTGAGCTCAGGAATTCAAGACCAGCCTGGGCAACACGGCGAAACTCCATCTCTACTAAAATACAAAAAATTAGCCTGGCGTTGTGGCGTGCCTGTAATATCAGCTACCCAGGAGGCTGAGGCAGGAGAACTGTTAGAACCTGCCACTGCACTGTAGCCTGGGTGACAGAGTGAGACTCTGTCTCAAAAAAAGGGGGAGGACAATAATAGAAGTGCCTCTTGGTTGTCATGGGGATTAAATTAGTTACTACATGGGAAGCATCTAGGGACAGACACCTGCCATGTACCGTATGAGTTTCCTGTTGCTGCTGTAACAAATTAGCACCAATATCGTGGCTTATTAAAAACAATGCAAATTTATTCTCCTGTGGTCCCGGAGGCCAGAGGCTTAAGATCAGTTTCACTGGGCTCAAGTCAAGGCGTGGGCAGGGCTGGGGTTTTTTGGAAGCTCCAGGAATCCATTCCTTGCCTTTTCTGGCATCTGAAGGCCGTGGCATTCGTGGCCCTGGTCACATCACACCAATGTCCACTTCCACGATTGCACTGTCTCTTCCTCTTTAATCTTTTGGCCTCTTTCTTATAAGGACCCTTGTGGTTAGATTTTGGGCCCACCTGAATCAGCAAGAATAATCTCCCTATCTCAAAGTCCTTAACTTAAATACATCTGCACAGTCCCTTTCTGCCACAGAAGGTAACAGTCACAGGTTCTGAGGATTAGGATGCAGATAGCTTTGGTGGCCATTATTCAGCCCATGGCATGTGGTAGGTAATAAATAAAGGTCCATGGTATTATGATAGTGATACTTTATGATAATAATGATAATATTTTTATCACTATCATCTTTATCATTCCCATGAAAGCCCCAGGGCATAGCCCCAGCCCCCTCCTCAACTATGTAGGAGAGGAGGGGATGGTTAGAGAACCCTAACTCCTTGAAGCCCCCTGAGACTTGGCCCCGAGCCCAAGCCAGAGCTGGGAGCAATGCTGGCTGATCAGGCAGAAGTACCAGTCCCCAGCTGGTCCTGAAGAGGGGAATGGGGGACAGACAGCCGAGGAGACAGGAGTGTGCTCACAGCCTGGGGTCCAAGAAGGAGCCTGGAGTGCAGGCTAATGCCTCCTGATGGTGGTGTATTCTGGGGACTCTTCGGGGACCCTGCCGGGGATGGGGCTAGTGAGTTGGTCCGTGTTGCAGTAGGTTGGCTCCCGATCCTCAGCAGCCAAGGTCAGAGATGCATAGGAAATGTCCTCCCTCAGCAAGGGAGCCTGCAGCAAAGGTCAGAGAGGATGGTAGGAAGTGCTGGTCACAGGGCAGAGGAGCCCTCGGAAGAGGCTGGTGGAGGCAGACCCTTCAGAGCTTCTGACCCCTCTCAAGCCCTCCAGCTTCCCCCCTACTCTACCAACCACCCTGAGCCTGAGCTTCACCCACAACAGAACAGAGTCTCCCCCAACCCTGCACCAGGGCAGCACATGGAATCTCAAGTCACTCGGCCTGTCTGGCACTCTCCTGCCCAGCTCAGGGACAGGGTTTGGCCAGTCCCTGGATTCCCAGGGTTGAGACTTGCCTGGGGGAGCTCCTAGGCCAGTATTGAAGTGACTATGGCTATGCCCCATGCCCCCCACCTCTGTGCCCATGTGAATGGGAGAAAGCCCACCCTCCAAAGGTGGGGGGTGGGCAACAGCAGCCCTCTACCCCCCTGCCCCAGCCTCACAGCAGCCCCCATGAAGGACGCACCATGGTGACATACTCCACTTCCACCTGGTCAGCCTGGGCAGAGGAGGAGGGCTTTGTGGTGGCCTTTTTGGGGGAGGCTCTGGTCTGCTGCAGGGTCAGGTTTGCATAGCAGAGGTCACTCTCCAGGGACTGCAGTACCTGGGACAGGGAACACAGGCTAGGGAGTCACAAGATCATCTGTGGACACAGGTTCCTTTTCCGAAGTGGGACGAGAGTCTCTCCCACTTCCCTGGGTACCCCTCTCCCAGTTCCCTCTGTGCCCCCCACTTCTCAGGCTCCCATACCCATCAGTCCTTGCCCCCTGGCTGTTTCCAGGCCCCTAGCCCCCAGGCCCTGCAGGGGGCCCTGAGGACAGGATACTTTGGCACAAGACTTATCCGATATTTTGGACCTTCTGGGAGATGGAACATGAGGAAGGGGAAAGAAACTGCCTGGTCTCTCTGGTCCAACCCTGGGGACTCTCTTACCTGCTCTGAGGACATCCCAGCTGCTAAAAGACAAATGACAATTCAGAATTAGAAAGCCCATCCTCCAGACTCGCAAGAACCCCCAGGTCTAGGGAAGAGAAATATGGAAGAAAAGAGGTGAATTAGGTCCAAGCTTAGAGACAGGGACCTGGTTCTAATTCTGATTGCTCAGATGACACACTCTGTGACACTGGTCATGTCACCTCTCTGAGCTTTCATTTCTCCACCTGAAAAAGAAGGACACCCAGCCCTCTGCTCCCCACATCATAGAACTGTGCACTCAGCTGATCAGTTGGCCCTGCCAGCCATCAGCTCCCCTGGGAGTAAGTTTCCTTCTGCAGAATCCCGACTCGGCCTGGAACTCCACTGTGTCTCTACCTGATTCATCCTTCAGGGGTCAATTCAAAGTCATGCCTGCCTTCTGCAGCTACCCAGGTTGCCTAACTCCCCTCCTGGGCCCCCGGGGGCACTTGCTTTATGTCTGTCTCATCATATTCATCCCACTGAATTCTAGTTAGTCCTCAGGTGGGCTGTAAGCCACAGGGTGGCAGGGCCTGTCCCTTCCTTGCAACCTGGGTGCTGGCTATGCTGGGCAGGTGGTGCTCTGTCAGTAAAAGTCATCTGCAGAGATAGGATCACCAAGCTGCCCCCAACCCCGAGTAGAGTGTATGAGCTGGGTGGGCACAGTAGGGACTGGTTTGGTTTGGTTTGGTTTTGAGAGAGAGTCTCACTCTGTCTCCTAGGCTGGAGTGCAATGGTGCAATCTCAGCTCACTGCAACCTCCGCTTCCTGGGTTCAAGCAATTCTCCTGCCTCAGCCTTTTGAGTAGCTGGAACTACAGGCATGTGCCACCATATCCAGCTAATTTTTTGAATTTTTAGTAGAGAAGGGGTTTCACCATGTTGGCCAGGCTGGTCTCAAACTCCTGACCTCAAGTGATTCGCCCACCTTGGCCTCCCAAAGTGCTGGGATTATAGGCATGAGGCACTGTGCCCGGCCTAGGGACAAGTTTTCAGGTGGTTGCCAGTCCTGTCTTTTTGCCCTCCCAACCACCGCCTCCACATCCCTGCTCTAGGGACAACAAAGAAATAGTGGTTTTTAGTTTCAAAATTCTAGATGCTGAAGAACACAGAAACCACTTAGACCTTAGGTCATGGGCAATATATTCGGGGGAAAAAGCGATCACTAAAAAGCATCTCAGAAAACAAATTAACAAACAGTCAGGCTCCCCTCTTCCCAGGTGAAAGATTTCCCAGGCTATGGGGAAGGAGAAGTGTTGGAGAGGACCCCATGAGAGCTAGGACCCAGCTGTTCTAGAAGGGCAAGGGGTACAATTGTGTGAGAATGTGGAAGTGAAGTCAGACAGCAAAGGGGTTTGGTTGAGGCCAGACCTCATGATCTGTGAGTGCAGGCTCCTGCGCCAAGGCCTGCACCAAGAGGTTCTTCCTTGAAGAGCAAATTCACAAAGGGCAAGTAGGCAGCCTGGAAAGTCCAGTGGGCAGGGAGGAACAGAAGGAAAGGCCATTCCGATTTTCTGATCCCACTTGGAGGGCTGTGTGTGTGTGCGTGTGTGTGTAATGTGATTAGTGCAAATGCACTGTGGTATCCATGCAGTGTGTGCACATGATCGTGTGTGTGTGCACGTGTGTAATGTGGTGAGTGCACGTGCCCTGTGGTATCCATGCAGTGTGTGTGCACATGATCATGCATGTGTGTGTGTGTAATGTGGTGAATGCATATGCACCATGGTATCCATCATATCCGTGCAGTGTGTGTGCACATGATAGTGCATGTGTGTGTGTAATGTGGTGAATGCATATGCACCATGGTATCCATGGTATCCATGCAGTGTGTGCACATGATCATACGTGTGTGTGTGTGTGTGTGTGTGTAATGTGGTGAGTGCAAATGTACCGTGGTATCCATGCAGTGTGTGTGCACATGATCATGCATGCGTGTGTGTAATGTGGTGAATGCATATGCACCATGGTATCCATGGTATCCGTGCAGTGTGTGTGCACGTGATAGTGCGTGTGTGTGTATGTAATGTGGTGAATGCATATGCACCATGGTATCCATGGTATCCATGCAGTGTGTGCACATGATCATACTTGTGTGTGTGTGTGTGTGTGTGTGTAATGTGGTGAGTACAAATGCACCATGGTATCCATGCAGTGTGTGTGCATATGATCATGCATGCATGTGTGTATTGTGTGTAATATGGCAAGTGCACATGCACCGTGGCATCCATGCAGTGTGTGTGCACATGATTGTGGCGCGGGAGTGTATGTGGCGAGTGCACATGCACTGTGGCATCCATGTGGTGTGTGTACACATGATCGTGTGAGTGTGTGTGCATGCACTCTTGTGTTTATGTCTGTTTCTTCCTCCCCACTCCATGTTAGCTCCGTACCTCCTTGACAACCACACAGGCCCGACTCTAGCATCTAGTCCAGACACCCTAGGCTGGACCACTCACCTAAGACCATTGCTACTTCTGCCACCAAGAGCCAATTCAGGAAAGAGAGAGGGAGGTGGGTCAGAAGGAAGAGAAGGGGAAGGACTGATGTGCAGGGCAGGCAGAGAATGCCAAAACCTCCTGGGCTCCCCTGAAAGTTCCAGGGTGCCCCCTGCTCCCCTGGCACTGCCAGCTGCCAAGGGCCTTTGGGATAGTGCCCTTCCCATATGGTGCAGGTCATCCCTTGGACCAGATAGCTCCCAGATGCCAATGCTGGCCATTGGCCACACACCCAGCCACCCAGCCCAGTCCCAGCCCAGCCTCACCCAGCTCCTCTCACCTTTCTTCTGGCGCTTCATCATCCTCCAAACCAAGAGCGAGGCGGCCACCAAGAGAAGCAGCAATATGCTGAAGACGAGGGGCAGGAGGACGCTGAGCTTCAGGACTTTGTGCCTAGGAACAACCACACTTGGCCCCTGCACCCCAGGCTCACCATCTGCCTCTCAGCCCAATCCCACCCTCTTGGCGGCAAGGGAAGGGCACACACCTGATGAGCTGCAAGTCTGTGGTTTGCAGCCCGGGAACCCTCACTCCTGACGGCAAGGGAAGGGCACACACCTGATGAGCTGCAAGTCTGTGGTTTGCAGCCCAGGAACCCTCACTCCTGAGGACCCTCAAAAGTGGTTTTACAATGAGCACACACAGACAAAAAGAAGGGAACGGAACAAGAGACAGCAGGGCTGACTTGAGGATGGCGGGCAGGAGAAGGAAGAAAATCAAAACCTACTTATAGGGTACTATCCTTATTACCTGGATGAAAAATAATCTGTACACAAAACCCTGGTGACATGCAATTTACTGATATAACAAACCTGTCCATGCACCCCTAAAGCTAAAATAAAAGTTTTTAACTTATAAGAATTTTAACAAAAGATAGTTGGGGTTTTGTTGTTGTTGTTGTTGTTTTTTGAGACGGAGTCTTGCTCTGTCCCCCAGGCTGAAGTGCAGTGGCACAATCTCGGCTCACTGCAACCTCCACCTCCCAGGTCCAAGAGATTCTCCTGCCTCAGCCTCCAAGTATGTGGGATTACAGGGGCCCACTACCATGCCCAGCAAATTTTTGTATTTTTAGTACAGACAGGATTTTGCCATGTAGGCCAGGCTGGTTTCAAATTCCTGACCTCAAGCGAAATAAATGAGTGAATAAACTATCTGATGCTAATCAAAGGCCCTAATCGGGTATTTACATAAGGCTTTGATTCATAAAATAATTTTTTAAACCCTTAACTATTCCTTATTTGAAGCAGCAGTGTGGTAGAAAATAAACTTTCTTTTCTTTTTTTTTTTTTTTTTTTTTTTTAAAGGTTTTTTTTTTTTTTTTTTTTTTTTTAGTGTTTTTTTTTTTTTTTTTTTTTTTTTCGATGGGGGTTCACCTTGTTGGTCAGGCTGGTCTTGAACTCCCGAACTCAGGTGTTCTACCCACCTTGGCCTCCAAAGTGCTTGGATTACAGGCGTGAGCCACCATGACCGGCCAGGCAGAGTTTCACTCCTGTTGGTCAGATGGGTCTCGAACTCCCATCCTCAGGTGATCCACCTGCCTCAGCCTCCCACAGTGCTACCATCACAGGCATGAGCCACCGCGCCCAGCCAGAAAATAAACTTTCAAAACAGAGAGCATCCTGTATTAGTTTGCTTAGGAAAAAAGAAAAATGGGGACAAAGCAAGGTGGCTCATGCCTGTAATCCCAGCACTTTGGGAGGCTGAGGTAGGCAAATCACTAGAGGCCAGGAGTTGAAGACCAGCCTGGCCAACACAGCGAAACCCCGTCTCTACTAAAAATAAAAAAATTGGCCGGGCATGGTGGCTCATCCCTGTAGTCCCAACTACTTGGGAAGCTGAGGCAAGAGAATCACATGAACCCGGGAGGCGGAGGTTGCAATGAGCAAAGATCACAATACTGCACTCCAGCCTGGGAAACAGAGTGAGACTCGGTCTCAAAAAAAAAAAAAAAAAAAAAAAAAAAAAAATTAGTTGGGCGTGGTGGCAGGTGCCTGTAGTCCCAGCTACTCAGGAGGCTGAGGCATGAGAATCCCTTGAACATGGGAGGCAGAGGTTGCAGTGAGCCAAGATAGCACCACTGCACTCAAGTCTAAGCTACAGAGTAAGACTGTCTAAAAAGAAGAAGAAAACTTTAAAAGTTTAAATTGTTTTAAAACAGAAGGCAAATGGGAGAAGAGGAGTAGAAGGGTCTCAGGTAGTTGGAATACTGGGGACTTCCCACGGGGATTTTGTGGCAAGGTCCCAGAAATAAGAGACCTTGGCACTTGGCAGACGTAAAAATAAAGGCAAAGGTCGGGCGTGGTGGCTCACACCTGTAATCCCAGCAGTTTGGGAGGCTGAGGCAGGCAGATTACCTGAGGTCAGGAATTCAAGACCAGCCTGGCCAACATGGTAAAACCCAATCTCTACAAAAATACAAGAATTAGCCGGGCATGATGGCAGGTGCCTGTGATCCCAGCTACTCAGGAGGCTGAGGCAGGAGAATCACTTGAAACCGGGAGGTGGAGGTTGCGGTGAGCCAAGACTGCACCTCTGCATTCCAGCCTGGTGACAGAGTGAGACTCCATCTCAAAAAAAAAAAAAAAAAGTCATGAGAGCCAAGGAGAGTGAAAGGAGGAAATGAAAGGGGACTTTCCACTTCTAGAAAGCCCATCTCACTGCAGATGGTTGGGCAGGGCACTAGAGGCATGACTAAGCTGTGGTGTGGAATCCAGAGACTTCCATCCAAGCTCCAGTGACAGCCTTCACCGAGGAAGGGACTGAAGCTCAGTTTCTTCTTCTGCAAAATGGGAACATGTGTATCTGCCTGTTCTTCCACATGGGGTGGTCGTAGGAAAGGTCAAAGACAACAAAATAATGCCCAGGAAAGCCTTCTGTGGCTGCCAGGTGCGCTAGAGATGGGAGGAACTATTGGCACCACTGTTCTGGCCGTAACAGTGATCAGAGGAAAATTAAGGAAAACGGGACTTCCCCAAGCTCTCTTTTCCTTGTCCTCCCAGAAGTTGGACCAAGAGCCATGCCTGTGGCCCCACGCCCCCACGCCCACACTCACATGAGCCACACCGTCCTCACTTACTGCCGACTCATCCGTCTCTTGCACTAAGCTCCGAGCTCCACGGGGACAGTCCATGCCTGTGTCCCGAGAGCTCAGCATGGGGCAGCCATGTAGATGTTATTATAACACAGTAAAAGAGGGACGAATGAGTGAACGAACCCACAGACAGCACTGAGCTGCAGAATGAAGGATCTGTGGGGAGGGACTGAAAGGACACCATGTGGTGTGACGGCAAGTGGGAGGGACTCCCAGCTTCCTCATCATCACCAAGGAGCCTGCAGCTTCCAGACAAAGCTCAGGCTGGAAGCTGGGACTTCAAAGAGTTTTCCATTGGAGGAGTTTGGGCCAAGTAGGACACCGTGGAACCAAAGCTGGCTTACCTGTTGTCCAAGTGGTGGCTGTTCAGAGTTGGGAAGCTGCTGGTTTCTTGCAGGGTGACTAGTGCTGTAAACGTAGTGGAGGTAGGCATGGTGGGGGTGGCAGTCGATGCTGTAGTTGATGCTTGATGTATTGACCAGATCAGAGACTTCCCTGCCCACAGCCCACCCACAGCCCTGCATGCAGCTCTGAGCCTGAGGGATTCCGGACTGCTCCTACGGGAAGGGGCTGCAGCCTGGACCGCTTATTTCTCCCTGGCCTCTAGGAGACTCCAGAGCCTCAGAGGTAGGCGGGGCTGGGCAGGGTCCAGGGAGGACACTGAGCAGACCCTGGAAGGGTTAGAGGGGGCTGGGAAGAGCCTAGAAGCAGCTGGAGATCAGCTGAACTTGAGCAGTCCTGCTGCTTATGACAGAGCCTTGGCCAGTCTCCACCCTCAGCCCTATTTATCCGCAACAACAGGAGTAGAGTGGGAACTTGCACAGTGACTGACCAGATCTGTGACATCGAAGGCCAGGACCAGCCCTGAAGGAAATCATAATATTCAGGAAGAACCTTGACTTCGGGCAAGTAACAAAGCCTCAAAGATGGGGATGCCCCCTTCTCAGGGGTATTGTGAGGATTCACTGAAACAATGCACGCTCAGCACTGTGCAAACCAGAACATGCCCCAGAGGCTCCAGGGATAGCATGGGGCCCTGAGAACTGTGGTGCTCTCCCCGTGCCACAAGTACCCTCGAGCTGGTGCTGCTCATCTTCTGAGCGACAGCAGAACGAGCCCAACAAATAAACCCATGCAAACTAAGGCACTGGGACCTCTGAGCTGACCCTCCCAGAGTATCTGCATTCTAGAAGGATGTAGGAAGACAGCATCATTAAGTCCACATGCACAAACGGCTCATGGTGGGATTTCAGGGACCAGGAATGCAGCTGTTTGACTGTGAGGACCTTTCTGGACTTAGGAATTTGACCCCAGCACCCCGACTATGCTGAGCCTCTCTTTCTCCCAGGTCGGGTATGGAATGGGAGGTGGGAACAGCAGCTATGAAGCCCTAGCCCAGAACTCCACCAACAACAGAACACACCTAGGCACAGAGGTCTCCAGAAAGCAATGGCAAGGATTGGGGTCTCTGCATACCATGGAGGGCATCCCCTTGGCCCATGGGCTGAGACTGGGACCGTCACCTTGTCCTCAGGCACTGAGCTTTGCAGAGGAGAAACAGTGTGCCTAGTAAGGCTTAATCCCAGTGTGGAGGGAGCCCTGGGAGCCATAGGGGCATTGATGAGAGGCCCTGACCCTCCCAATCATAAGTGGTCAGTCGGGGTTCTATGAGACTCAGGACTCAAGTGGCAGATCACTCAGTGACAATGAAGTCACTTGGGTAGGACCTCAGAGACCAGGTCAGAGCAGGCCCTGAGAGACAAATCCAAGCATACACTCCCTCTTACCTGGGTCAATGGTCACTTGAACTTTGACTCCAAGGTCAGTTCCAGTTCTCTCAATCCCACACCAGTACGTGTCAGCATCATCTCTTCTGAGATCCTTCATGGTCACAGTGAATGTGTGGTTTTTCTGATCATCCCTGATGGACAGCCGGCCCCTCTTCACCTCCTGCTCTGATCCAGTGGTTTTAACAAGGATCTGACAGCTACTCCAAACAGCTCCTCGACACCACCACTTCAAGTAGGTCTCCCATTGTGAGCCGTAAGCACACCGCAAGGTCAATGAGCCCCGCTCCAGGCCGTTCACCGTGGTTGGACCAGTGATTTCAGTGGCAATGGAGTAGCCTGGAAAACACAAATCCGTGTGCCATCACCTCCCACCCCAAGGGCAGGGCCACGCCTCCTGTTTGGGGAATAGCTCCCAAATCCAAGTCTCACAACTTAAATAACAGTCAAGGAAGAAATATACCTTCCACATACAAAATTTTTGTCCTTCAGTTTTCCACTGGGTCAAAGCCATCAGGAAAATCACTGACGTGCACAACAACAGATCCCAAAATAAATAAAAATATTGGCACTGAGCAATCATAGCTTCCTGCAGTTCATCCTCTGTCCACCCTACGGCCAAAGTAATCTGCAGATTTCAAGGAATGTCCTTTTGCAGCCATCTTTGTGTTAGACCAGCCTGGTGGGGAGGAAATACCAGGAGACCCATTTCCACAGGGTCTTACCTTGACTTAGCACTGATGACCCTCAGGAGGTCGAGCTGAGGCAGCCACATCAGCTGTCTGTGGAGAGGCTGTCCTGGTGGTCCTAATGATTTCTAGTGGTTCTGGAATAAACCACCCTGGGTGAGTGCCTTTGAAGTTGACCAAAACAGCAAAGGCAACTGGTCTCCATGTGCTATGGGATCCATATGACACAGATTCCACTTTCTTCATTGAATTGCTTTGACCCCTTTGTCAAACAGCAAATGTATGGATTTCCCATTCTGTTCTATTGATGTACTTGTCCACCCTTATGCCAATCCTACAGGGTCCTGATTACTATCACCTTGTAGAAAGGCAAGTATTATCTTTCTTTTTTTTGAGACACGTTCTCACTCTGTCACCCAGGCTGGAGTGCAGTGGCACAATCATGGCTCACTGAAGCCTTCACCTCCCAGGCTTAATCGATCCTCCTACTTCAGCCTCCCAAGTAGCTGGGACTAACAGGCATAGGCCCCTTCCTGGCTAATTTTTATATTTTTAATTGAAACAGGATTTTGCCATGTTGCCCAGCCTGGTCTCAAACTCCCGGGCTCAAGCAATCCACCCGCTTCAGCCTCACAAAGTGCTGGGATTACAGGCGTGAGCCACCACACCTGGCCTGCATTTTCTTAAAATATATGTTTTTCTTCAAAATCGTGTCCTTTATAGCAACATGGATACAGCTGGAGGCCATTATCCTAAGTGAATTAACATAGAAACAGAAAACCAAATACCACGTTCTTGCTTGTAAGCGGGAGCTAACCATTGGTTACTCATAGACATAACGATGGGAACAACAGACACTGGGTATGCCAAAACAGAGGAGGGAGGGGAGCAAGCATTGAAAAACTACCGAGTGGGGGCCAGGCATGGTGGCTCAGGCCTGTAATCCCAGCACTTTGGGAGGCCGAGGTGGGCGGATCACCTGAAGTCAGGAGTTCAAGACCAGCATGGCCAACATAGTGAAACTTCATCTCTACTAAAAATACAAAAATTAGCCTAGCATGCTGGCATGCGCCTTTAGTCCCAGCTACTAGGGAGGCTGAGGCAGGAGAATCTCTTGAACCCAGGAGGCAGAGGTTGCACTGAGCTAAGATTGTACCACTGCACTCCAACCTGAGTGACAGAATAAGACTCTATCTGAAAAAAAAAAAAGAAAGAAAGAAAAGAAAAAAATATATAATATGCTGAAATCAGCACAAATGAAATAGAAAATCTGAATAATCCCATAGCCGCTGTATTTAAATAAATCAAATCTCTTGTTTAAAACTTCCCCCAAGGCCAGGCACAGTGGCTCCTGCCTGTAATCTCATCACTTTGGAAGGCAGAGGCAGGCAGATCGTGAGGTCAGGAGATCGAGACCATCCTGTCCAACATGGTGAAACCCCATCTCTACTAAAAATACAAAAATTAGCTGGGTGTGGTGGAGTGTGCCTGTAATCCCAGCTACTCAGGAGGCTGAGGCAGGACAATTACTTGAACCTGGGAGGTGAAGCCTGCAGTGAGCCGAGATTGCATCACTGCACTCCAGCCTGGTGACAGAGCAAGACTCTATCTCAAAAAAAAACAAAAAATCTCCCAGAATAAAACTTCAGACCTATACAGCTTCAATGGGAATATTTACCAAACATGTAAGGAAGAAATAATGTTTATTTTATATATAATTTTCAGAGCATAGAAAAAAAGATGAAATCCCAAATCCATTTCACAAGGTTAGCATGTTCTATGCCAAAACCTGACAAGAGCAGAGCAAGAAAGTACTGTAGGCAAATATCTCTCATTGGCCAGTCTCAGTAGCTCACACCTGTAATCCCAGCACTTTGGGAGGCCGAGGTGGG